ATAAATGCCTGAATAAGCCATTTAAAGATCACCTCCAGAAAAAGTACTTGGCGTGGATGATCACCGGGCCAGTTGAGTTCACCCCGGCAGGAAAGAAGAAGGCGCCAACTAGAAACCTTGTCCTTTGATGGATTAAAGAAGCATGGCAAGAGATTCCAGAGGAGATGGTAAAGAGGTCTTTTAAGAGCTGTGGAATTTCCAATGCTATGGATGGAACAGAAGACTACGCAATCTACTCCGAGGACTCACAGGAACTCGATGATAATGAAGAAATGGAGGATGAGTTCAAGACGGACAGCGAAGACGAGACTGATGGCGAGTAAACTTTTAGTTGAAAGGTAATAATTATCATACACAAACGGTTCCTTTAGGAGCCACCAATTATATAAAAGTTCAATGACCAACATTTTACGACTTGTTTTTGTTGTGTTTTACTATAATTTCTTGAAACTGACTTGGCTATAAGCCGAATCAGAAATGTCTATGATGATTTTAACTTTGTTGATGATGCTTCGAACAAAAAAAATTATTCAAAACTCTCGGCTATAAGCCGAACCCCCCTTTTCGGAAAAAAAATTCCCAAAACTGAGTAAAATTTTTTGCAAAAATTGCTCGGCTTATAGGCGAATAAATACGGTAGGTTGTGTTCACTTGTTTATGGGCTAAACATTGTGAAGGAATATTTTGAAAGTTTTAGGGAAGGGAAAGTTCTCGGAAAATGTAAGAAAGCCCTTAATTGCCCCCAAAACAAACAGGTCTCTTTTTCCTTGGCCATTAAATAATGAAGTATAATATATTATACTCGACCTGATCTTTTCATTTCATGTACACTACATGAAGCATATGGGTGGAGAACACTTTTCATGCGCACTACATGACGTATAAAAGGGATGCAACGAAAAATCGAAGACTCAACGGTATTTTTGACTGCCAAAAGATTTTAACAGTCTGAATTTGAGCTAATTTGCTTTGTAAACATGAAAACAACACAAGAAAACAAAGAGGAGGAAAATTACCGTAAGTGGTGTTTATTTTTATAGCCAAATTGAGACTTAAAAAGGAGTTTGCACAGCCTGGCCACTCGCTGTAGGTTTTTCTTGTCGCTGAAGAGTAAAGCTTGTCGCCTGGTGCTGCTAGATCACAGCCTTGAGGAGGCATAAATTCATGTTCGTTTGTTCATATATAGGTGTTGCCAAGTTGAAAATGTACTTCCAAAAAAGGAAGAAGTTTGGAATTCTGAGGGCATGGGGGTAATGCATTCTGGAATTTGTAAAGGCAAGAGGGGGGTTAAAACATGGAGGCTGTCTGTGGTTGGGTATGGATATTTTGTAGAATTACCCAATCTGAAAAAGAAGTCTAACACTTGAGCATGTAGTACCCCACCACACAAAAGGTTTGACTAGATAATAATAGACTGATATCCATAGATCATCTTAAGAGTGACTTCCTGTAAATACTACGGATAGGTGTGCAAAATGCAAAAATCAAACTCCCTCAAACTTTTTCACAAGAAAGCCCTCTGGAAACTATTTAGGAAAATACAACTTTTAGTTCGTTTGGATTTATATTTTTCAAGTAAAGCGGTTTTTTAATTTTCACCCTTGGAGAAGCCCTCGAACCACTGAAAAATGTGCTTCATATTTGCGACTCGTGT